AAGATCCAGAAGACTTCCTGGGGGGCATCTGGAAGCAGGGGAGACTGAAGTCATGCCAAAGAGAAGCCCCTGAAAGGTGTGAGGCTACAAGGAGAAGGGAAATCAAGCAGCACAGGCAACAGTTAGAGTTGGACATCTGCAGGGAAAGTGATGGCAGAGGGAGAGGAAAGAAAACACAGGGAAAGCAGAATGCGATGCAAAGAGCAGGCAGCCAGTGCCAGGTGTGGCAGAGGGTGAGCACCCTGAGACCAGGGGGCCCTGGGAGTAGCACATGCTCCTGGAGCCTATCGTGGAGTCTTTACTCTGAGAAGGCCACGGGAGAGTTCGGACTTTCGTACTTTTGGGTGCAGAATTATGGCTTTTGGTTTGGCTTTGCCACTATCATTCCCAGTGGATCTGCATTTGCTTGGCGCCTAGGTGGGGGGCTAAAGGTGTCAGGTGGTGGCCAACAAGTCGGTGCCCACAGTAGGTTTCCAGCATACGTTCAGATGAGTTAAATGTCCAGGTAAGATGCTTATGTCTGTCCAGCCCACACAGAGACCACAAATTCCAGGGAGTGTGGCCCTTTCTCATATTAATAGGTAGGACAGATATATTTAAACCATTCTGCTATGGTAAAGAAATATGTCATGTTATTGTTTAATAGCTTTGACAATATAGAAATGCATGCTGTAAAACTTGTAACTCTATGTCCTACTTTGCTGAAAATATCAGTATTTACAGCCTGAAATATTCTCCCCACATTTCCAATACCTATATTAAGTGTATATGTGGATTGTTATACATACTCTTTCTTAAAGTGAGGTTTTTTTTTTTTTTAAAAAAAAAAGGTACCTACAGTTTTGCAAATGGTTTTATTTACGTACCAACATTCCTCTTGACCGAGTTTTCTAAAAGGGCTATATATAAATTAGTTCTATAAATCACAAATGTGCTACAGGACTTACAGGGACTTCTATAAAACAGGCCCTCTTCTCTGTATTTTGCTTCCTGACCATGGTTTCTCTTCACCAGTACCTCAGTGATTTAGTGACTGAGCAAGGATATAACTTGAAGAGCTCTATGTTCAGAGGTTCTTGCTTGTGTCCCTGAGAATCACCCTCAACCTATTACTATACTGAAATCATTAGTGGACAGATTAGGACAGAGGCCTAGGTGACATAGACAGATAAAATAAAACAACAACAGCAACAACAAAACCCACAACTGTGGGCACATAAATACCAGTAGACCATTTCCTGAGTTCTCCCTGCCAAGCATAGTCCAAAATTACACATCACTTTATGTAACCATATATATAGTCTCAGTCACTTTGGAATGCTGTAACAAAATACACAAACTGGGTAAACAGTCTCATAAATGACAGAAATGTATGGCTCACAGTTTTGGCGGCTGGAAGTCTAAGATCGAGGCGCTGGCAGGGCTGTGTCCAGTGACAGCTCACAGGGTCTCACAAAGCAGCAGCAGGGAAGGGGGAGCCCTCTGTGGTCTCTTAGCAGGGTATTAATTATGTTCATAAAGGCTTCCCCCTTATGACCTAATTACATCCAGATACCCTCCTACTGAGGATTAGGCTCCCACATATGAATTTGGGGAAGTCACACATCTTCACTAGAGTAGGACCTTTGAGGCAGGTACCATCTACCAAGTGGATGGAAACACTGAGACACAGGAAATTTACTGAGTCAACTGCCTAGGCTCAAGAGCTGGTAAGTGCAGAGGAAGAGGAAAGCGGGATGTGAAGTACAGGGGTGGAGAAGATTAGGCTTGGAGCAGTAGCCATGTGCAGCACTGGATTGCTGTGACTCTTAGGCATCTATGTGTTGACTCTGAGTCCTCACAGAAATCTCCTAGAACAGGGCTGGGGATTTAGCTCAGCGGCAAAGAGCCTGCCTGGCAAGTGCAAGGTTGTGAGTTTGGCTCCCGGTACCGGAGAAAAAAAAAAAAAAAAAAAAAAAAAAAAAGAAATCTAGAACATCAGATGAAGAATCAGAGCAGGGACACAACTGCAGCATCAGAACCAGATTTGAATCCTTAACTTGGGGGCTCATTGTACTAATTACCACCCCCAGGAAGTCCATCATGGCAGGGACAGACCACACCACCAGAGCTTCCTGGGCTCCAGGCTGCCTACCCTTTCTGGAAACCAGAAAGAAAGCTCTATAGCAGGGGCCCACGGTGTCAACTTGGAAAGCCTCCTTGGCTGATTCCACTCATCACTGCCACAGCGGAGGCTCTGCCTTGCCCACTGTCAGGACAGGAAGCCTCCACCAGCAGTCAGGTCTGGAAACCTCAAGAGGGTGACTCAGTCAGTCACCATCCCCTTTCCACTGTCGTCATCCACCCTCCACTCTGTTTCTACTCCTTCTCTTTGCAGGTCTCTCCCTGCCTCGGCCACACTGCCCTCCCCTCCCCCACAAGCTGTCCCTAAAAACATCTCAGGGCTTGAGAAACTAAATTGTCACTGTTTCATTCAAAGGTTGGGAAGGTTCAATTGGGCAATAAACCGAAGTTATAAGACTGTGAGGAAATCAGATGTGTCCTTTGACCTCACAGTGTTAATTTGGATCTGTGGGCATGATTTTTGAGGGTTGAACTTTACAGATTTTCACAGCCCTTTTGTGATGGCTACAGTCATAAAATTTTGGCAGGCCCAGAAGAAGAATCTCAGGCCAGCATTGTCTTCAGGAGTCCTACACTCTTCATGCTGCTCCTGGCTGAGGGGGAGTGCCTTCTGCCTTGAGCTCCTACAACATATCCCTTTCGACTGCTCACATCACAATCCATGGCTCCAATTCACATCTACATTCACATGCTTCCTAATTTTTGTCTCTATGTTATAGTCTATTCTAGCCACAAAAATCACTTCTTTATAGCATTCATTATATTTACGCACATGGTTATTTGATTCACATCATCTCCCCTGCTAAAATGCAAACTCAATGAAGGTAGGGGACGTGATTGTCTCTGTCCACCTTTGTAAACCTGGCTCCTAGTATATGCTTGAAACAATAAGGAATTGTTGGTATAATCACTCCTACCTCCCTTTCACTTAATGTTATAATGACTGAGTGTTTTCTATGTGCAAGATGCCATCCTTAGCACATGATAGGTAGCATCTCATCATGTCCCGTAACAGCTCTACACAGTAGGCACTGTTCTTCCTATCTTACAGATGAAGAATAGCTGCATACAGGAGAGAAGTACTCAGCCCAATGTACAGAAGATCAGCGAAGCTGGTGAGTGACAGAGCTAAAATTTGAACCCAGAAAGTCTTGTCTCCAAATCTAAGCTCTGAACTCTTATGCTATATTCCCCTAATGGTCAGACTACTGGGTTGTATTTTTTTGGTTAAAGTAATTCTCTGAAAGAGAATTATATGTGAGAACCACCTCAAATACCATCCAATTCTTTTTTTTTTTTTATAGATTGGAATGCTGATACCAAAGGAGGTGAGATGACTTGCCCAAGGTCATACTGCCAAGCTTATAGTTGAATTTGGGTTCTCATGTTTTCTGACTGCCATTATAATGCTTGGTTTTGCTTTTCATATTGTATCAGGCTTCTGTCTCTGAGGAGTAAGGGAAATTTAACTGACAAGCTCCAGATCTGTTGTTTAATAGATAAAATTCCTGTAATCTTAATCAATATTTCATAGACATAGAGGATGCTGGAGCTGGAACAAACTTTGGACTCACCTAAATGCAGAATCTTTCTACAACATTCTTTTGTGACTTCTTACAGAACATTCCTGGTGGGGGACAGACAAAAGGGGGGAGAGAGAGAAACGTGTCACCAATCTGCCACACTCAGCTATGGTCTAGTTTTGACCACTGGTCACTTGGTCTACAGCAGCAGCAGCAACAACACAGACTTTTCTGACCACATTTATCTTCCTGAGTCATAGACCAAAATATGTGGGACTTGAAAAATTTTCCATTTTCTATATTCTATTTTATATATAGATTTTATATATAAAATATATAGAAATTTTCTATATTCTATTTTCTGTATAGAACTGCCTTCATTTTCACTATAATTAAACAGATCTAGTTATCCCAAAAATTTCATGACCCTACCTTCCTAAATCCAATCCCTCTTTTAATCCTACTCTCCATGCCTTGATTTAGCTGCTCCCCATGGAAAGTACCATTAACTTGTACTCCCTCATCCCTCTGTTTCCCAAGTAGCTATTGACAGTAAATATTCCTTTGTGTTTCTTCTAATTTTTATGAAATAAAAGAAGTTACCTTGCTAGTCTAGACCCCTAAAGCGTGAGTTTTATTAAGAACAAGCTTCGTATAGCTTCTCTGGGCATCTGGGTAGTGCTCTGCTCACCTCCTACTTACACAGAGAAAACTTCACCTGAGAGACACCTGTCCAAAAGCATTTCCCTACTGTCTGCCTGAAATTTTCACTGCTAGAATCTCCTTACAACTCAGGCACTTTAACTTAAATTTGTAAACATCTATAGAGCCCCTACCACACTCAAAATTATTGTGCTAGGTGCTGGTTGATAAAGGCAAAATTAGGTGCACGTGTTGCGGTGGAGAAGTTAAAAACTTGCCTTTGCACCACGTTATTTGAAGAGAGACGACGTTTTCCCAAAATTAGTTATCTGTTTAACTGATCTGGTCATGATTCCACACAACAATAGAAAGATATCAGAGCTATACACAGTATCACCCCTTCCTGGGGCGGGTAGCGCATGAAGAAAAGCGAAAGAGGCCACCACGGTGTCAAGTTTTCCCTGCCAGCCGAGTTTCTCCAACTCTGTGCACACCTTTCAGAGGACAATGATGACCCCTAAGAACTGTCGTTTACCTTTTTTCTCGCCTCCCCCCCCGCCACGCCCCTTAGACTGGCAGCTGCCTGAGGGCAGGACGCATTCCCCGAGGTCCTAGCCAGGGAATCACCACGCTCCCGTCAGCCCCGCCGGGTGGCCACGCCTTCTTCACGGCAAGGGCTCCGCCTCTCGCCGCCGTGGTCTGTAGCGGGTCGCGCGCCGTGACGTCATCAGCACGCGCCCCCTATCACTAGGGTCCGTCCGGCACGTGCGTCCGGCGCTACCGCTCTCTTGCCTTGTGGTAACCCTGTTACCACGGTCGCGCCAGGTCGGAGGTCCGCAAGCAGCAGACTTGGCGACATGTCGATGCTGGCTGAGCGTAAGTGTCGGCCGCGGAGGCCCGAGTCCGGCGCGAAGGAAAAGCCACGGGGTGACGCGCGGCCGCCGCAGACGCAGGGTCGTCCCGCGCAGTGGGCTGGAGAGGCCCATGCAGGGGGCGTTTGAGACCCGGGGACTGGGCCGGGAAGCCGGGCTAGGTTCGTCCTGCCAGCTGCAGAGATGCCCCGGCCCAGTCTTCCCGGAAGTCAGCCGCCGGCCTGCTAGTGAAAGAGACTGCGTGTCCCCCGAGACTCTTGTCCTCCAGATCCGGGGCGCGCGCCGTGGGTTCGAACAAGTCGGGACTCCGGTAGCGGAACAGGCCCTGCCTGCGACGGTCTTGGGAGCCCGAGGTGCTTCCTACATTTCCCCGGGCCTCAGTTGACAGAGGTTTAAAAACAAGGTGGACCAGAGGGATCCCTGCGGGCGGAGAATCCAGCTGTTGAATATGTATTCGCGCGCAGAAGAAAAGTCGAGGGGTTAGAAGCGTCAGACACAGAAAGTTAGCCTCTGGGGATGGGGGATGAGTGATTTTAAAATGTGACCGTGTCTTCGTTAGTTGCAGTTGCTCCGCTCACTACCAGGGCGTTGACCGCAGTGCTCCATCCTGTCTGTTCCCTTTTTAACGTTTTACCGTCTGGAGTGAAACTCACCAATTCCGGCTCTCCGGGAGAGGTCCTTGAACTTCTAAATGGGACCTGTAGCTGAGGTTGCTGCCACCAGATGGCAGTCGTGTCACGGTCGTGAAGAGCTGGCCCTGAACTTTGTGGAAGTTGCGCAGTGAGCAGCAGACAGAAATAGCTTATTTAACAGGCGAGCAGCAACCGTGTAGGGACTTTGAGAAATTAATACCGGCCTCATCCTGTTATCTAAGGACCACCAAAACACTAGGAATAGGAAAGGAAATGGGCCAGGCACCATCCCTATTTTACAGTAGCAGGAATTGAAGTCCAGAGGAAAATAATTTACTCCAAGTCACTGAGTTAGAAAGTAGCAAAATTGATGTAGTTATCTCAGTCTACGTTTTTGAAGCAGCTTTCTAATTAGGAACTCAGACGAAAATGTTTTAGATGGTGACCTTGTGGATTCTTATTTATTCATTACCGGAAACAAGCAGTCAAGATTAGAATCTAAACCGGGCGTGGTGGCGCACGCCTGTCTGTAATCCCAGCGCTCTGGAGGCTGAGGCGGGAGGATTGTTGCGAGTTCGAGGCCAGCCTGGGCTACAAAGTAAGCTCAGGGCCAGCCTGAACTGCATAGTGAGACCCTGTTTCAAAAAGAAAAAAAAGAAAAGATTAGAATCTAGATTGCTAAAATTTCTTATGGTTTTCGTAGTCTTTGGTAAATACAAGTACTAATTCAGCATTTGAAACACTGACCCTGGCTCTGCTATTGGTTTATTATTACTGTTCCCTTGATTGGTTTCTGGAAGCCTATTAAAATTTTCTTACACTCTTTATGAGGTTAGCTTAAAATCAATGAGATGGGTTTTTTGAAAATAGTTTGAAAAGTCTGAAGTGGTGTAGGGATGTGAAATGATAGGTGTAGATAGCAGTGATTTATGTTGCATGAGTATTTTCAGTTCTCTTTCCTCCGGTACTCCCAGTTGTGAAATCTTTGTCATGATAGTATAGAACATTTTTTGTAGCCCTTTTTCATAATTTGCTAAATTAGTGTTTATGGCATCTCGTGGTAAAGTATTTAGGATTGGTATTCTCATTTTAGAGATTTAAAAAAATAAAAGCATAAGAAATTCCCAGTCCCATGATTTTAGTACCCAGAAACTATTCTCTGATAATTTGTAAAATTGGGATAATTCAGTAGGTTGTTTTGTATCCTTACTTTTGCCTACTTGACATTAGCAAACATTTTTGCTTTATTAAACATAGTGTTTCATTTGTTTCCCTTTTCCATGTGGACTATATTTTCAATACAGGCACTTAGTCTAGTTTTTATTTTTTTATTTTTTAATTAGATTTTATTGGTACATTTTAGATATACATAACGATCACATTCGTCATAGAGAATTTGTATCTGTACATGATATAACTTCTTTTCCCCTTTCCCCGACCCTCCCATCAACCCCTCTTCTAGTTTTTAAATTACTATGGTTTTCTTTGTGTTTCTCAAAAACATTCTTTAGCTTGTATTTCTCTAGTTATCAGATACTACTCTGTTGAATCTGTCTCATGTAAAACAAGAATTTTATTTATCACCCTTCCTGGTCTTTATGTAATTCACAATTTTAGACACAGGTTATTTATCAGTATACTAATTTTTTCATAGATGTTTTCCTTTTGAAGACCACTTTTGACACTTGTCATTACATTTTATACTCTTAACACTAGTTAATGCATTTGAATGCTCATTGCATTAAAATTTTATATCGCAGTTTTCTCGATGTTAAATATGTCTTAAATAATCTTTTAATAAGACTGTGGGTGGTATAGTTGGAGCTCTTGAGTATCTGAAAGTATCTTTGGAGAAATAAAGGGGAACTTCTGTCCCTGACTGTTGGGATTCAGTCAAGTTAGCTTACTGGTGGCATAAACCATGTGATATCAGACATGCAGTGATTGAAAAGTGAAGTCCCTTGGAGCTGAGGATCCTGATGTATCCTGTGCGGACTACTTACACTTAGAGCTCCAAATAGGAGGAGCCCCTGCCAGAGGCTGGTTGAGTACCTCATGCCAGACAGTGATTGGGCAGATTCAGGGTTCTCCACGGAGGCCCAGTGCTGTTCCTCACATTGCTGTTTAAGGTTGTGTTGGAGTCCTCACCAACTACCCCAGATCAGTGGTTTGCTGGATTAAGATGCAGGACTCAGCATATATTAATATGGCTTGGATTTATACAGCTAAAGAATGCTAAGGCAGAACAAGTAAATGGAAAGATTCATGGGTGAAGTACAGAGAAAACTGGGCACACACTTCCAGAATCCTCTCCTGGTAGTATTGCATGACATGCTTAATTTCTTTGCCAGGACCAAGAAAGTAAGCAGACTCAAAAGTCATGTCATTTGCAGAACAGTTAAGTATAGCGTGTCATTCTTAGAAGAATGATAGGAACCTGCCTGAAATCCAAGTTCCCAGCAGAGGCTTACCTTTTCAGCAAGCTCTTCAGAGTCAGCAGTTAGGCCTGATCTTAGCTCTTTTCTGTGTACAGCCTTAGCAAGGCTGATGTCTGAGCAGCTGGGACAAACGGAGTCTAGAAATACCAGGACAGGTATACAGTAATTCAGGCAGAACAGGACAGAGATGGTCCGTGTGTGTGTGTGTGTGTGTGTGTGTGTGTGTGTGTGTGTGTCCGTGGTGCTAAGGATTGAACCTGGGACCTTGTGAGCATACTAGGCGCAGGGACAGTCTTGCCAGAATTTCCCAGGAAAACTTATACAAGAGTAAAGAAAATAGTATTCTTGTCTCATAAGTTAGGGAGTCTGGAATGGCTGGTCTGCCCTCCAAGAGGATCTGCACATTTGTGTGTTAAAGTTCCCCATAAATTCTCATTGTTAGATGTTTTTTGACATTGTTCCTTTTTAGGTGAGGAGCACCCCCTCCCCGCAGCACCCTCATTTGGGAAACACTTGTTGTAGTCAGGGGTTTACGGGGCAAACAGTGCAATACAGGACACTTAACTATATGATTATTTTATAATAGTCACCCAAACAGTCATATGCAAAAAGAGTGCAGGAAGTCTGTCCACACAGTAAAGACCAAAGAATCTAGCTGGGGGCCTGGATCCCACGGTAATGTTCTCCATGAGTCTAGCTGAAGACCTAGAGCCCATAACAGTGCCCCCCAGGAGTTCAGCTGGAGGCTAAGAGCCCACGACAATGCCTCACGCAGGCCTGTTTCATGGATCTGTGCTGGGAAGGCCCAAAGGTCAGTGGTGGAAACTAGAAAGTTTGTCAGCGGGATGAAGAATCTGTGCTAGCAGGCTGAAGGATCTGTGCTGGAGCCAGGAAGCAACACTCAAAGTAAGAACCAGAGCTCCCCCAAAAAGTACCACAGTCATCCTCAGCAACAGTGAGGACCTGAGCTCCTCCAAGAACAGCTGAGCTCCCATTAGAAAAGCCAACATGACAAGCTTTTCCACGAGACTGAACAGTGCACCATCTTTCTCTCTGGGGCCAGGAAGCAATGCTCAAAGTAAGGACCAGAGCTCCCCCAACGTGAACCATAGCCATCCCCAGCAACAACAAGGTCCCGAGCTCCTTTGACGTTGAGAGTAGCTGAGTTCATCAGGAAAGCCAGCATGACTAGCTCCTCCAAGAAAACCAACAGCTCTGTACAGCTTCCAACAGCTTCACCTTTTCTTCCTTCCCCATTCTTTTTATTTTGTTGGCAACAATCCTCAGGTGGGCCTCCCACACCCAGCATCACACTGGTTCAGTTCAACTGGGTGTTACAAGTTGACTACCACTTGTCAATCCCGGACAACTATTGTGGCTCCCTTGGTGGAGGATGCCTGCCCTTCCCTGAGGAAGATGAGCTGACCTCTGGTAGCCAGTCTTGTAGAGCACTGCAATCTGTTGGATATAGATGGGCAACATGGGTTTCTTATTGTAGTGGAGGAGTCAGTTATTCTCCAAGCTGCCTTCTTCACTCCAGCTGCAGACAGAGACCCCTCGCAAGTACTGTTCTGGACTCTGATTCACCTCTACCAACTACATACAGAATACTGGTTAGCAGGGCTTACCACTGGTATCTTTATTAGTAGAGACAGTGTTATCCTGAATATCTACAAGATAAGTAAGTGGTAGCTTAGCCAGGTAGAGCATTTTTGGATCAACTTTTTCTTGCAGAACACTATAAATTTGAGTCCCGCTCATTGTGCTTTGTAAGTGGCTTTTTTCTGCCTGTATGCATGCCAAGGGTTTCTTGTTTTGCTAGGGTGTGTATAGTTAAGGGTCTGTATTGATTTTACATGCAGCGCAGTGAGCCCCTTTGGCTGGAGGTTGTATTACAGTTAATTGTGTTGTGAGACGGCGGAGGTCAGAGGCTGTTGATAGTGAGTGTGCTTTGGGTGATGCAGTGGGTGAGTGATAGTGACACTGAAATCAGATTCATTCACCTGCAGTCGGGTTTAGGTACCGTATTTTTGTTCTGTGATTTTTTTCTCTGCAGTAACTTTTCTTAAAGCTTCAGCAATGAACTTAAGTTCTTAGAGCTCAATTATTTATGTACATGTAAGAAAACAGTTTGATGAGACTCAAAGCAATTTCCTTAATTCAATTATACTCCTTTTTTTCTTTTCCCTTGTCTTTCCTCCTTTCTCCCTTTCCCATTGTTCTTTCTCATTCATTCACATATTTATTGAAGGCCTGCTTTTGTAAAATGTTATCTTTATTTACTTACAATGAAACATAAAGAAAAGAAATGAATATGAGAAATAATCTCCTTAAGGAGATTATGGTCTGGCAGAAAACAAATGATGGACATAAATAGCCCTAATGCAGTAGTAGTATGTTATGTGCCAAAAGTGAAACAGATCATTGATTCTGGAAGTTCAGTGAATCAGTTAGGGTGTGTAGGACATTGCAGTGAGAAGGGAAGCTGTCATTATGTGTAGACTGTACACACAGTGGAGGTACAGTTGACTCCCTAAGATCGTAATGACTGTTGTATGTTGTAGATTAAGAATAAGAGCTTTGAAGTCAGTAGAACGTTGGTTTGTATAAAGGCTCTGGGCTTTGCTTGGGAACATTAGGCACATTTCTTTCTCCAGGCCTCAAATACTCTTATCTGAAAGGTAGAGATTAAGACTTATTTCCCTTCATTGGCTTACTGTGAAAAATTGAATTTAATATGCATATAAATGATGTCTGTGTCACATATGTAGTACGATATGTGTGGCATTTGGCACACAAGCCTTGGCAATAATAGCTATGAGACGGGCTCTTGCTACTACTGTTGATGGTGAGGCGGTCACTGGTGTGCGTAGGTGTTTTCAATTGCAGCTGATAGCCGAATGTAGAAGGGCCACCTAGTGGTATATGGGGTGTATCGAGGGAACAGTTTAAACTTAGAAAGTCAATTTGTATAGTAAGAACATAGTTATTAGGAAAACAAGAAGAAATGATTTATTCTCCTAATATCCACTAGGTTCTGTGTGGTAACTGTGTACAATAAAACATGTATCATATTGTATGCAAGTAGGTCTGTATTTGCGTGTTTTTCCCAGGTTCAAAAGATTGGGCTACTCTTTCATTTACAGGTCGGCGAAAGCAAAAGTGGGCTGTGGATCCAAGAAACACTGCATGGAGTAATGACGATTCCAAGTTTGGCCAGAGGATGCTAGAGAAGATGGGGTGGTCTAAAGGAAAGGTATTTTGGAGAAAAGCAAAGCAAAAACCAAACAAAAAGAGCAGAAAAACCATCTGAGCCATGGCAGGAGATTATGAATCATTTTTGTTAAAAGTCTGGTAGAAGTTTTTGTTTTGGATCAATAAGTCATTCAGGGGAAATAAATTATAGTGACTAAGTGATGAAATTAGAATTGAACATGAATGTCAGCTCTTCATTTAAACTGCTGTGATTAGTCTCTTTCTTAGATACTGCTTTTTACTCAGTCACACATGGAATCATACTTAACCATCAGGGTCTCGTGTTGCCAGGAGTGATGTTTAATTCCTTTCTGTGGCTAGACTGTATGTGCTTTCCCCTTTTCCTCCCATCCCATCTCTTGCTGACTCTAGTGGGGCGCGTGCAGTGTCTACACATATGTACCAGTTCCAGTAAAGGTCAGACCCAGTAGACCCTGTTTCATTCTCACATTACATAGCCCTTCGTTGCATGGGATGTCATCTACTGCTCCTTTGTGATACTTGTGTCTTGGCATCCATGATGCTCCTCCTCTTTTTCTCTTTGGCCTCACTGCTAAATTTGTCACCGTCTCTTTTTTGTCCAGATACTTTGAGCTTTGGAGCTCCTTGGGGTCCAGCACAAGCCCTTTTCTGTGTACTGCTCCAGTGATTTCATTCACTGCCATGCCGTGCTTTCAGTTATGTGGAGTCTACTTCTGTGCTCAGAGCTCCCAGTGTGTAAATTCATCAACCTGCTTGGCTTTCCTACTTGAGCATACATCTCACAGGCATTGTTTTTGTTCTAAAACTCTTGGTCCCCTCGCGTCTTTTCCTTCCCGAGTCCTTATTTTCACAAATGGTACCATCTACCCGTGTATTCATCTACCCATGTGTTTAAGCCAGAGAACTTGGTTCCTCTCTCTCTCTCCTGCTTCTCCAGTTGCCACTCCGCCCTGCAGACCAGCGCCAGGCCCACTGTCATCACCTGTTCTCATCCCCTCAGCGCTCTCAGCGCCTCCGTTCTTTCCTTCCTCTGGTCCACTTCACTGTATGACAACTGAATGGACGTTTAGAATATGGAAATTAGATCATGGTATGCCTTTGATTAAGATCCAGTGCTTTCCAAGAAGTTTTAAAAACAAATCCAAATGTCTTCCATAGACCTGAGGTCCTGCTAGGTGCAGCCCCTTCCTTTCAGTGTATTTTCCCTTTATTCACTTGCGGAAGCCACCCTCCAGCACACCACGCCATCAGGCTCTGCACTTGCTGTTCTCCTGACTGAGCCTTATAAGTGAATGTTAATTGTTGCAGGGGTCTTAGAGTGCCCCTCGCACTCGTTCTGTGCTGTCCTTTTGTAACATTAAGTGATGGAGGGAGGTGTAGGCTTGTAACACCTCACAAGGGCCTCTGTGAGTTTTGTAGTAGCCCTCTGCTCTGAGCACCAGCCTGTGACGTTTTCTGCCTAGTGTCTGCAGGGACCGCATTTCTGGTCTCAGGTTGAAGAATTGGAGTTCATTGCTATCCGTGCATCCTTGGTGTTAGACATTATCTTCTAAGAATTGATTGGACTGTGTTTTCTCTGAGGGCAAGAACAGTGCCTCACCCTAGATGTTTAGTCATTAATTGAATGGTTGGTGAAGAAAGAAATAGCTGAACTCTCTGCTTAATAAAAATGCTAATTCCCTTTGTGCTTACTCTTCACAGGGCTTGGGGGCTCAGGAGCAAGGAGCCACAGAACATATTAAAGTTCAAGTTAAAAATAACCACCTTGGACTTGGAGCCGCCATCAATAATGAAGTAAGCCACAGTGTGCCATCTGGTGTTTTCTTTGCATAACTGGCTTTGGTTCTGGTAACTTTGGAATTCCAGTCCTCTCAGTTTTGACTATTGAAATGTGTAGTATTAGTGTTTAGATAAAGCACAAACCCTGGCTAGACTGCTGCATCTTCGTGTGACACGCCAGCCATCACCTTGCTTTCCGGTCCTCCTGGGGTCCTTACTTGCTTATACCTAAAAGAGCCAAGAAAGCTTTATTGCTAAACTTTGCCAGAAGTCTTCTTTCAGTACAGAAAGGATGTTTTATGTTAACCTACATTCTGATACTAGTTTATACTATTAAAAGTTGGTGGCACTTAGTTTAGGAGATGCTGCAAGAAAGTAGTGTTCTTTTCCGTTCCTGTTGTCTATTTCCGATTGTTGGTGTATAGCACTTGGATGTATTCACATTTTCTTTTGCACATTGACACTGTAACTCAAAAGCAGTGGCCTGCCATGCTTTTCCTGTTTAGTACCGTTGTTTCCTTTAGAAAGTGTACAGGCTGGAAACTTTGTTCCTAAACTTTTGTGTCCAATAGAATCTAGAAGAAAATTACTTTAGGTGAACTGAGTACTTCGATTAATTCAGTAGCTCTGAGTAGTGGGTTGGAACAGCTAAAGTTTTCTGGACTAACAGCTAAATTTTTCAGCCACTAAAGAAAAAGTTTATGTAAGGTTGTTTTGAATGTAGTTTTGAGACAGGCAACATAGTCTCCTTATTTTCTTAGCAGAAGCACTACACAGTAAACCTATTCAGTATGCCTTGACAAGCCTTCTTAGAAAATAAGGCATCAGAAGTCAAATGAGACAAATTCCTGCATTGAAACCCTGCTTTCCACTAGTCAGTACTGTTTTGGCGGGCTGCATTCTCTTATTAGCTAGTCACCTTACAGATGGGTGCTCACTGATTCATAGGGCTATGAGTCCTTCCTTCCCCTTCCCCCAAAGTTTTGTAAGATTTAAATCATTTGCTAGTAATCAGAGTGGAACAGAATATTTTCAGCTCTATTGAGCAAAGAAGAGAGCTTCTGTGTCCTTCACTGCTCTTACCCTTTGAACTACCTAATTTCCCCTAGTGAGAAAAACTAGTAATTTTATTTTGTTTTATTTTAATATTTGGCACATAGGTTACCCATTTTGACCATAACTTGACTATTGGTAAATCTTCCACATTTGAAGTCAGGCCTTAAATTTCCAAAAAACCTCTTTTTAATATTGATCAGGTTAAATGATGACATTGCAAGCTTATATAACATCCTCAATCCATTTAAATGTATCAAGCAATACTTGGATGAATTTTTTAGTATTTCATAAGTACCAGATTTCCTTGAATCTGAAATATATCCTGGACACTGCCCATCAGCACACCAGGTTGCAGATCAAGCTACACAAGTGCAAGGCGAAGCATGACCAGCTGCTTCTCAGTTGCAGTAAGAATCTGATCTTAATGGAGCCTAGATAGAGTTTAAGAGAATGGGAAATGGCACTGAACTCTAAAGATGCAGCTCTGAATACTATACTTGGTGATAAAAAAAAAAAAAAAAAGCTTAGAGGAGATTTGGAGGATCTGAAGGATCAGTTTGCCCAGTTAGAAGCTTCCTCAGCTGCTGCCAAAAAGTAGCAGATGAAACTTTACCTACAGTGGATTTGGAGAGTCATTGTCAGAGTCTTACTGAGCACTTAGCATTTTGTAAAAACGTGTGAAGAGATTAATGAGCTTAGGTGAAGTTTAAGAGAATGGGAAGTAGCACTGAATTCTAAAGATGCAGCTCTGAATGCTACACTTGGTGACAAAAAAAGCTTAGAGGAGATTTGGAGGATCTGATCCTCCAAGGGAAGGAAGGCCAGAGGAAGTGTGAAACGTGTTGATAGGGTGGATTCTGGGCATCAGATTGCATATGAGTAGAAGCTGGCTCAGACCCTTCACCAGATGAGAGAGAGCAGAGTGCCCAGATGAGGCTGTCTGAGGATGAGCTTGAGCACACTTGCTGTGCCACCCTGGGGAATGCCAGGCTGTCGGCAGTGCCAGAGAGAAACGGCTGGAAAGTCATGTGAGAAGTGAGAGCCTCTCCTCTCAGCACTAATCTCCAGGAAGAGTCTAGAGCATATTTGGAAAGGATCCAAGAGTTGGAGGACTTTCTTGCTTAAGAAAGACAGCTCTTGTTGCATGCTGTCTGACAGAGAGGAATGATGGAAATAAGGGATCGGATGCAGCTACAGCTGAGTGATTATGAACAACTTCTTGGTCAGTGCTTATGGGAAATTTCTAGAAGGCGAAGGAGGGAGGCTGCAGCTCTCTTCAACCTCTTCTGTGTGACAGTGTCCTGAGCATCTCGCATTGCAGTGTGCACACAACTAGAGGAAAGTGAGAGAGAGTGAGGTAAAGCATCAGACACAAGCAGTAGCATTGGCATCTCATTCTGCCTCAGCCATTGAGAGTGTGTACATTGAAGAGATGGATGTTGATGGGAGATTTATTCACATGAAGAGTACTTCCAAACAGGATCAACCAGTGAGAGGCTGCGAGCTGATCGGAAAAACTGGAGACATTAGTCAGATGTCCACGGAAGGCAGACCAAACTGTTCTAGTTTGAGCTTCAAATGTTGTGTTGTGGTCGGTCCTCTCATTGACCTTATCGGGAAGAACCAGGACTCTTGGGACACTGGTGAAAGTGTAAAGGTTATATTGAAAATTCCTAGGGTGAGGAGGTGGCCCAAAGAAGTAGTGTTTAGAGCAACCACACCTGAGGAAAAACCATCTGGAGTGGTTGTTGAGGAGGAACCTTTCCACCAGCAAGGCATTTCAAGACCCCCCCTGAGGCTGTGTAGTTACATGAATTCTCAAGTCAGCAGTCTTCCTTGATATAAGGAAGATAGCAGTCCTTACTTATATACAGAGCCTTCTCAAAAGCATTGTATATATTTCAATATATTTAGATTTCCTTTATTTTATTTTTTTTTTGTACCAGGAATCGAACTCATGACTTCATGCTTGCCAGGCAGGCACTGTGCTGCTGAGCTCTATCCCCAGCCTAGATTTCCTTTAAATGATTGCTTAAGTTGCAAATCTGATGACCTTGATTTCCTTTTCTGACACTGAAAGTTTTGTAAAAGAATTATATCCTATATACTTGGTTGCAATATATGAATTATCGACACTGAACTACCTATGTACTCTCTGGAAAGGGCCCCTCATATTTTTTTGGCTTTTTTTTTGGTATGTGTTTATTTGTTTTTGTTTTAAGTTCTTATAAGAAGGGGGAAGAGGGTAAATAAACCACTGTGTCTGGGTGTAAATTGAAGATTGTTCCATCTAGATTAGCAGTCCGCTCTATATTTGGTATAACAGTGCTGAGGGGTTGCTTTTTAATATATTGAATTTTTATACTGATTAAATCAAGGTTACTGATACTATTTTGTTAAACAGAAAAAAAAGAAATTTTGTAGGAAGGTGATACTAACCTGATCATCATGTAAGCATTGTAGACAAAGGACTCTGCAAAAACTATTTTATGGTTATTTCTCGTAGATTCTTAACTCATGAGGGCAGTATGCTTGGGCAGGGGGTGGTGGGATGAGAGAAGGGTTTGTCTGTTAAAATGTATTAGTTATAGTTTTAAGATAATGTAACATGCTTAAATTTCTTATGTGACATTAACAAATGAAAAACTTCTAATATTGAAAAATGAGTAAAAGATATCCTATCTCAGGTCACTGACAGTCTTGCCTCTCACTCTTTGGTATTTTCAGGACAACTGGATTGCTCATCAGGATGATTTTAACCAGCTTCTGGCTGAGCTGAACACTTGCCATGGGCAGGAAACCACAGGTAGGGAAATAGTCACTGAATTTAGAGGAGACATAATTTTTCAGTATAAAATATTTGTATCAACTCTTCTATTGAAAGCATAATTATACCTAAATGTCACTTGATTCAAATTATTGCAGATACTCAGTTCTGTGTGCATTTTGTTGGTGCTTTCCATTAATGACCCTTTGATCATCAGCAAAAAATTTTTTCCCCATTCACCATTTGAGAATGATAAGATAAGTGAGTTCCGTTTACACCTTACGTAGTGAAGGCATTTTGATAGGGATGCTTGAATATGATGGAAAAGATGTTTTAAAAATACAGATGAAAAATACCATGTGGGATCATAAGCAACAGCCAGCAGAGGATCAGTAGAGAAGCCTTTTCTGTGTTGATCATTTGTACTGGGGTTTGCCTCACCTTTTAATTCATGTAGGAGGTTCACATTGCTCAAGTATCCTAAAGTTCTGCCTTGAACTCCTAGGCCCATGCAGTCCTCCCAACTAGCTGAGACTACAGGTGCATGCCACCGCACCTGGCTGAGACAGGTCTTTTTTTTTTTTTTGGTTTTTCTCTGGTACCAGGAACCGAACTCACGACCTTGCGCTTGCCAGGCAGGCGCTTTTGCCGCTGAGCTAAATCCCCAGCCCCAATAGGACAGCTTTTTTTTTTTTTGGTTTTTCTCCGGTACCGGGTGAGACAGGTCTTTATCGGCAATTTACAAAAGAGGGTGTGCAAGTGCCCAAGAAACAGGTGACAGAACACACTGCCACTTTAGTCATCAGAAAAATGCAGAATAAAACCACAGCATGACACCACAACATAACCATTAGAATTCGGAAGACTGATAATGTCAAGTTCTGCAAATGTGGAACAGTGGGGATTCCTACAGAGTATAGGTTCATAGGACCGTTGGAATCAGTTTGGAATTACTTATAACAGCTGAAGATAAGCATAGCCTTTTGTTCCTGTCCAGCAGATAGATGCCTGTGCACATGTGTCTTGGAAGATACAGACTGGAATGTGGGACGCTATTTGCAGTATCCCCAAATTGGTCATAATCAGATGCCCCCACTCGTAGAATAGAGTATACAGCCATTTTTATAAATGCAAAGAAAAATATAGTGTAGTTGTATGTATGTGTGTAGAGTTTTTGTCAAGGGCTAGACAGAAATACTTTACAGATCATAGGGTCTCTGTCACAGCTGCTTAGCCTGGCTATTGGAGTGTGAAAGCCATAGGACGGTATGTAAACAAGTGAATGTGGCTGTGTCGCCATAAAACTTTATTTACAAAAGAAGGGTGTCTGTTCGATTTGGCCCACAAATTATAGTTGGTTCCTAGGATAGAAGGCTCCTTAACTTACTGTTGACTGAAGGAAGATGAACACAAAATATGCATCCAGTGTAGTTGTCCTTATGTGGACTGTAAATGCCAGGCTAAACTCCGATATTAAGGTGCTACGCTTCGGTGGTCAAATTATTCTAAACCACAGGGAAAGAGTGCTCCACCAGGAAGGCCATGCCAGTGATGGCTTTGGTTGGGGGAGTGCTTGGGATTGAGAAGGGGCTTCTGAGGAATTTCTAGGGTGATGTTAATAGTCGGTTTCTTCACCTGTCTGGCGCTTGCAGATATTTGTAACCATCATGTTTTATGCACTTGCTCTGGCTGTTGTCTCCACCTCCAAAGAAAGAAATGGTTAAAGCAGATGTTACAAGTATGTATGGAGAGTGATCACAAAAACCGTGGTAACAGTTATCCTGAGATGTTGCTTCTTGAGGTAGGCAGGTGATTTTGCCCCCTACAGGACATTTGGCAATGTCTGCACACATTTTTTGTCATGCCAGTTGGGGAACTGTTCCTGGCATCTAGTTGGAAAGGGTCGGAGACATGGCTAAACCTCTTACCGAGGATAAGGGGTTGTGCCTCCACTGCCAGAAACAATACTGTGCACAAAATGTCAATGGAACAGAGATTAAAAACTGTTCTAGGAGGAAGCAGAAAACAATGAGAACAGAAACGTGGAGGCTGGATGCTTCTAAGTACTGGCAGCACCTATTTCTTAACCCTGGAGGTGGTTACAAAGAAGTGTGCTTTATAATTGCTTAATGGTGCAGATTTTAACTATACTTATATATTATGGTACATTTTACGGTAAAATAATTAAAAATGGCATGGGGCTCGTTCTCATAGGACCTCAGGTACCTTCAGGTATTTTACTTCATAAAATACAATGTGTAGTTTATTTTACGTTAAGGCTATAATGAAGGGTAACTCTAAATTTGGAAAAGGTTTCTTCTTAGAGAAACAGGTACAGCAATTTGAGTACCCGGGACCGGCTTCTATCTTAATGTATAGCTAATGATGTATAAATAGCAGTAATTTCCTCAACACATCAGGTCATGACTCGGGTGTTCCTCATTCTTGGGGAGCTTTTGCCACCCAGTATACTCAAGGAAAACGGAAACTTGAGTCTAGATTCCTTCTCGTAGGGGTCCCCACACACCCATTCTAAAATAGACAGTTCTCTGTACTGTTTGGTATCATTACTTTCTCAGAGCCTGATGCACTGAGTTAAGAGAATACTTTGTGACTTTGCCGGTTGTAGGAATACCAAGAAATGATCAGTCCCGAGATTGCATAGACAAAGGCGCTATGAGATTGAGTTTTATGGATAAAGAGAAGAGAAAGCAGATTGTTGAGTGGTTCGAGTTTTAAGATTTGATAGTGGTAGCTGGAGATTCTTTTCCTCTCGTGTGATAGTACTTAGAATGACCAGGTGCATTCTAAGTGAGAGATGCCATTCTGGTAGTTTTGGAGACCTTGGCTGGAGAGGGGCTTCTTGGTGGCCTTTCCTGCTATGCTCCAGGAAGTGCAGGTAGTGGGCTGTTTTGAGAGCTCTGCAGAGCCCTGTGTTGTCAGGAGGGCTCTGAGTGCCTAGCACATTTCAAGAGGTGGTACCTTGTCCCCATGCAGGCTCTTCACAAGTTACTCTGTGCAAGATTAGTTTTCCTTTTCTGCCTAAAACTTTTCAAGGATCTGAAAGCTGCAGAATTAATGATCTGTGGTTAAGTTCCACTTTGGGCCACTAGAGGGGGCCGGCAGCCCTGCTCCAGTGAGTGATTAGCAGAGGTTCCCTAGCTCCGTGCCATGCCAGGCTTTGCATTGCCCGCCCAGGCTGCAAAAAGCCTTACAGGTTTCCTTTCAGGAAAAGTCTGTCCCAAGGACAGGACCTGGAGAGCTAATAGGTTATTTTCCTGCTTTGTCACTTTTGGTAAATACAGTGTCTTCATCCATGTGATGTTTTGATCACAGTCACACCATTATTTGTATTAAAGCTGAGAAGCAGAGGACACAGTAACCTAGAGCATGCTCTTCTGCTGTAATAGTATCTGTAGCTCCTTAGGGTGCTTACCAAATTCATACCATTGGCCTTTTAACTGAGCAGATGTTGTGTGCTGTCTTCTCAGAGAGTCTTGCAGAGGGTAGAAATAGCTCCATTCTTTTTTGGGACACAACAATCAACATATTCTTTCAGATTTCATTTTCCTTTCCCGGTACCCGGAATCGAACTCACGACCTTGCCAGGCAGGCGCTGTGCCACTGAGCTAAACCTCCAGCCCCCAGATTTCATTTTTTAAAACTACCTTATCTCACTTAGTTATGCTCTTTCAGGCTCAGGGTAGCATTTTGGTGGACTTTACTCCGATTTAGGAAATGCTTGTTAACGTCCATCATATCTTGTCACTAATGGTTTTAAGTATTTCGGGAAGTAACCTGGGATGCTGAGAACTTTACACACAGATGCATAGTTTAGAGTAGGCGTCTACAGAGTTATTTTGCATACATGTACCCTAAAAAGATTTTGAAAAGCAATTTGCTCTACCTCACATTTTTAGATCAACATCCAGGAGTTTTAAAAATCATATATACATAGTTGCAAAAGCATAATTTCTTAGCCATTGAGAAATATTGGCAATTATAGTAAGTCCATTACATCCATCTTAAATATAGCCAATGAACAATAAATAGAATTTAAAAATAAAACCATTATATCAATCAGAAGTATCTCCTGTTGCTGTTAAATGCCATAGCAGTTTGGTACTAATTATCATCTACTTAAAAATAAATGCTGTAGTAGTCAGAGGTGTTATATTTCCCTTACCTTCTCCCCAGACACTTATTTCCATTTCATACACCCCATAGTGGTTTGTGTTAATATATTTTATTCTTAACTTTTTATTCTTAACTGTCCTTTCATATTTCTGTATCACAGAATAAATACATCTAAATTTTTTACTGATTTCTACAACCCCAACACCTGTAAAAATTTTTTCTTTTAGATTATGATGTCATTATAATTAGATTATAATTAGAAGGTTACAATTAGTAAAAGCAGAAATGTATGTTACAGATTTTGGTAAATATTAAACAAAACAAGGAGATCTCTCTGGCAGTCCATCTTTTGATGAGCTAGGTTGGAGTGGTGGTTTGGGGAGCTGATTTAGTTCCTGTAATTAAAGGACTCGTCCCTAATTTCAGTACTTGGGTTGTTCTTCATTGGTCTTGAGGGAAAGGAGACTCATGCTTTCTCTCCTACCTTGGCAGAGGGCAGGTAGGACAGGAGAGCTGGGTGGCTACTGCCTCAGACCCAGAGCAGTGCTCAGGGAGTGCATGTGGACAGGCAGGCACATGGCTCTGTGCAGGCGCAGGCGTCCTTCCGCCGGAGTGTGAGCCCAGAGCAGGAGGCGCGCCCCGCATGGCTGACTGGCCCCTCAGTGAGAACAGCTCTGTTAAGAGGCGAGGTGCCGTAGTTAGGGCGTGTGTCCAGTTGTGACTCTGCGCTGCTGTCCCATCACAGCCCCCGCCTGTCCGTGCCTCACTCATCCTCCTTCTAAGTTTAGTAATCCTGGCCCCTCCGACAGGATGGTTGTGCAGATGATGCACAAGTGCACAGAGAGCTTTGTCCAGCCTTGCACCTCACACCAGCTGTTGCTGGTACCTGTAATTCCTGAGATGGTTCGTTAAATGCTGGCACTGAAGATGTTGTATGCCATGTGAGATCTTGTTCACAAAAGGAGGTGAAAAAGTTCAGGGTGGGATGTTTTGGGAAAAAAAAAAAAGAAAAAGTCCCAGAGTGTTTTTGAGAAGTAGCTCCAGAGAAGACTGCATCAGTTAGTTAGTATCAGCCCTTGCTGGGCATTGTCTGGACGCATGAAACACCTGTGCTCCTCTGGCCCTGAGCCCACTGTAGAACACATGCATACGCTGCTTTGAAATCGGTAACAAGCACCTGGGAGGGTCACACACCTCCCATGTTGCCCAGTGGCCTGGGCCTGTGCTCCAGCATTAAGGTGAAAGTCTCCATCTTTGTCTTTCTTTAACCTCCAAGCTGAATGTCCTTAAAAATCTAGGGAGATTTGGCCCTTCCACCTGTGCTGTTCCGTCTCTGTGGTGCTGTTCTGGGAGAACTGTACAAGTGGGTGTTGAGTGGGGTGCAGGCAGCTGGTTAATGTCTTCCAACTGACCAACCCCAGATGGACTTGCCCTGGGTTCTGGCTCGCATCTCCCTCTTTTCACAAAGGAATGAGCACAGGAACGTATTCCTCAATGATGGGTTTTGTTGCTCTGTCCCTGTAGGTGTCCTCCCAGGAAAGCTGGCGTCAGGTGGCGGTCAGTGCCATCTCTCCTTCACACTCGCCCTCATCGCTTACCTGTTTCTTGATGATCCTTCAGACTGTCTTTGTTCACATTTAAGATAACTTCATACTTGGAAGTCATTATGCATTCGTAATTATTAAATACAAAATAGTACAAAGAATCCTGAAAGCCCCTCCCCAAGCTTCCCCCAGAATGGCATCTTACATTACTGTGGCTGTGGAAACCCAGAAATTGGTACCTGGGGTTACTGTTAGCCAGATCCCAGGCCTTAGTGACTTCTCATTGTGGTTTCTGAGCTTTCGTTCTCTTTGCACATGCACACTTACTACAAATGGAGATCCGTGTAGCCGCCTCCAGTCTAGATAGAGAATTAATTTTGCCGGTTCTGTGTATTCACAACTCACCTTACACCTTTCCAACTTCCGACAGCCCACTTTCATTCCTGTCTCCTAGAAACTTTTGATCTGTTCTCTGTTTCTGTAGTTTTGCCATTTTGAGAACTCTATATAAACGGAATCATGTAGTATGTACCCCTTTGAGATTGATTTTTTTTCACTAAGCAAAAGCCCTGAGGTCCAGCCAGGTGCACTCATCAGTGGTCAGGCCCTCTGTCCTATAGAGTGCTGGCCCACTGTGTACGTACAGAGTTGGCTCAGCCCTTCATTCACCTTTGGAAGGATTTTTGGGGTAAACCAGTATTTTTCTAGTATGAATAAGGCTAATATAAATTTATGTATAGATTTTTGTGTAAAAACGTTTTTATTTCTCTTGCTCAAGAACTTCTTAGATTTTTGGTGGCTAAGTTTGCCTGACCCCTACCACACAGTTTTAAAAAGATAATTCTTATCATTTGATGAGAGTTCATCAATAAGTGATGATTGTAAGATAATAAATGAGAGTGGATTATAAGGAGTTCAGTGTGGTGTTTTTCCTCTTTAAGATTCCCCAGACAACAAGGAAAAGAAATCTTTCGGCCTTGAGGAAAAGTCCAAAGTCTCGAAAAACAGAGTTCATTACATGAAATTCACAAAAGGTAAGATCGAGCATTTCTTTATTTGTTGTTGAAGTCTGTGTGTTCATACTTAAGTTTCTTGAGCAGTTTTAGCTCCTCACCAGCAGTGGCTGACTTCTTACTTGTGTACTGAATGGGCCGTCTGGACAGCTGCTGGCACGGAGCCATGGCAGTTTGGGGCTCTTGTTAAAATGCAGACCCAGAGGTGAGGCTCAGTGTGCACAGGTCCCGGGGCAAAGCTGAAAACGAAAGTTAGTGCGCTGTTGAGAGGAAACTGGGAACATTATGTGGCAGGATCAGAAGATAACTTTAATTTATTGATCCATGTTTTTACCTTCATCTTCACACTTTACAGAGCTAAACATTGGTGTTGAACAGTTCCCAGCATGCTCATTGAGAGAGTCACCCTCTACAGTGAGATCTCTGCTATGATAAAGTACACTCCCAAGTTGACCCTGGCCATATTCCAGCCTCTCCATCTCATGGAGAGTTAATGTCAGCATCCCATTGTCATCTCCAAGGTGGTGTTGGGGAACAGGTTTGAGACCTGGTGGAAAACCCCTTCTGCCTCCATCACCACCTCCCAGGCCTCTTACCACCATGCCAGAGCTGGTAGTCCTTGTGAGTGCAATTGTCCTCCTTTACCACTAGGTGTCGGTCTCTAGCCGGTGAGAAACCATTGAACTCAAACTAATCCCCCGCCTAGTCTCTTCCCACAAAACAGCCACAAACACTATTTACTGTGTAATGTCCTTAAAGTATACTACATGTGGTGGTGAAGGTGCTGTGACATCTGGCCACACGATTGTTCTTCTCTGGGAGGTTAGCTGTATGCCAAGAAAGGCTTGTCTCTTTGCTTCAGTTTTGTCAGCTGGCTTGGGGACCCTTAATTCCCAGCATCCCGCTGCATGGCAGTGGAAGGTAGAATCCCCACTACTCTGAACTGTTGATTGTGTTTCTCATTTGGAGCCAGGATCCCATAAGGTGGATTTGGTTTCAGTGAGAGGCCCTGGAGACTGTGTGCAGGGGGAGTCTGGTACCGCCCCTGCTCTCTCCCAGTGGATGTGCTGTGAGCTGCTCCCTTCTTCTCTCAGGCAAGAACCTTCCCAGTTGTCAGCCTGTGGGCTCCTGACCCACCCTGCGCAGGACAGGAGGCAGACTCTGCTCGCCCCTCAGTCCTTTGGAGGAGAGGAGAGGAGAGGATAGTGGTCTCCTCCCCAGATCCTTCCATAGCCCTTCTGCGCCATAGGAGAAGCAAGACGGGGCAGTGCTGAGGCAGAGCGCGTGGGTGATGGCTGGGGGCTGGCACGGCAGCTCGAGGCGGCATCCCCTGCACGGTCTCCAGTTGTCCTTCCATGCTGGACTACACGCCTGACTTCATCTGAAGCCTTTGTTGCAGCTGGATAACCCTCTAATCTGCTTTAATCTACTGGGTGCCACAAGTATCTGCTTTCTATTTCTGGTTAAGCCATTCCCTTGCTGGTGACCCTGGCAAACCGCTTGGGGCACTGTGCCTTCATTTTCCCTCTTAAAGTAAGGTTTGCATATTTATTAGCCACACTTGGGGATGAGGGAGGCACTGGTATGCAGAGAGACAGTTCAAGGTAAGCTGTCAGGTAGAAGAGATAGAGTTGAGGATGGAGCACGTACAGACTGGGGACACGTCCAGGAGATGAAAGAAGAAAGCAGAGGTCAAGGTAGTGAAGAGAATCGTTGCCACCCATCTTCACCATCTGTAGTGAAAGCTTACTTGAAAGTGGTTTAATTTCTTTTTTTTTTTGTTTTGTTTTGTTTTGTTTTGTTTTGTTTTTTTGTTTTTCTCCGGTACCGGGAACCGAACTCACGACCTGGCGCTTGCCAGGCAGGCGCTTTGCCGCTGAGCTAAATCCCCAGCCCCTAAGTGGTTTAATTTCTTAAGAGGAACTCTCCCCTCTAGAGCCAGTGTCGGATATGAACGATGACTCGTAGGCTTGGCCCAGGTAGCCTGGCTGCTGGCCTCGGTGCTCCTGGACACATCAGCAAGCCAGCTTCCTTCCTGCAGACTCAGTTTCCTCTCCTGTAGAGTGAGGAAACGTTTGTAAGTCCCTGTGAAGGTCTAAAACAGGTTCTGGCTCGTGGCTAATGGTAGATGGCCCCTTTTATGGAACTTGTGCTTTCTTGGCATTATGGCTAATTGGGGTTTTAGCCCAGGATATGCTCATAAAGGAATTTACTAATTCACTTAGTTGATGAGGGTGATTCACACTGTGACTCCACCTGTGGTCCAGGAAACCAAACATAAGTAGGTGAACTTTATAGAGCTTGATAAAAATTGCAGATAACAGTTTTACCATAGCAAATGAGTACTACAAAATTTACTACTGCCTAAATATTGACTACATAATAATCAGAACTCATAACCCCAAATTGATAATTTTGATTTGAAATAATTTATTATATATTTGTAAGTTACTTTCATCCACATTTATTTAAAACCTAGCTCCAGTGTGTATATATGTGTGTATGTGTGTGTGTGTGTGTGTGTGTGTGTGTGTGTATATGTTCAAGAAATGTTTGGTGAGGCCACATCTACATGGGAAAATACCTATTTATTTATTTATTTATTTAGGGTCTTCTCCAGTCCTGACCTCGACCTTGCCAGGCAGGCACTGTGCCGCTCAGCTAAATCCCCAGCCCCCTAAAAATACCAATTTATGCAAAACCATTTTTGAAGGTCTTTTTGTCTGTGCAGTGAGAGTTGTTGGGAGAGCATTACTTTCCCCTTTGGCTGTACAGTGGGTAGATGAAAAGTGCCGGAAACTGTAGTGGTTCACTTTCATCTCAGCAATTCATGCAGACCTCGCATCCCTGTGCTGTTTCAAAAAACGGCCTGCATGGTCATGTTCCAGATGGCTGGCAGGTAGGTAGTGCAGCTGTCTCCACCCAGAGTTGGAATGTGGCGGCAAGGAGCCATGGTCTCTTTTCTCATTCTGTAGACATTTATTTGTTTTTTTTTATTTTTTATTTTAAAGAGTAAAACAAGGATAACATAATAATAGGGGGGACTTAGCATATTACAGACAAAATGGTAGGAAATTATCAATGGTTATCGTTTTACATATTATTATCTACAAAATAGTTTCTCAGGAAAATAAATAGACAAATAATAGTGAGTTACAGACAAAAGAGGTAGGAGATTATCAAGAGTTGTTGTGCTATACTTTGGTATCTTCAAAGTGGCTTCTAAAGAAAATAAATAGAGCTATACATGAGTGACCTATGGAAAAATCATTAACTATTCTCAATGGTTGTTGTAGGAAACACATAATAATAAACATACATCCATTTATGAAATAGGATAGGAACATTACAAACTTTACACAGTTATGGATAGATTAGTAGGAAAATATCAATGGCTGCTGTAATACATGGTGGTATCTTCAAAGTGGTTTCTCAGGAAGACAGAGATATGCAAGAAGGATCTAATAAGTAGTTACAGCCTAAGGGTTGTCAAAAATAGCATATTACCTCCTCACCAGTGACTCCTTTCACTGAGGTATGATGGCTGGGAGGAAGGCCAGGATTGAAAAGGAGGACCGAGAGACTTGCACCTGTGTCTAGCAACAGGCTGTTTTCTTGTTCCTCCATAGTCATGATTACCCAGGACTCCTCGATGGAGATGACGGTCTGGCCAGAGGGATAAGGCAGAGCATGCCCCAAGCCCTCTCATTCCTGTTGGACTAATTGGTAGCATGGGTCTGAGCTCTGGGGCCTCCACCTCAGAGGGCAGACCGATCTCCAGTGGTCTCCTTTGCATCCGGGGCATGGCCCATGGGGCCTCTTAGGGCAGTTCCTCTTGAGGTGGCCTGGCTTCTGTAGACATTTAAATATCAAGTAGCACCATCTCACACTACCGTCTTAGTGGTTATTTGGGTCTCGCTCATTCCAGCCCACCCTGGTTCTTCCAGACTTCCTGTTTTCTAGCATTCTCTTTTAGTGAAGTTGGTTTTTCTTGCCCTGTGCTTACTATCCCATGTGTTACATGAAAAGAAAAAAAATCGAAGTATAGTATTTTAGTATCTTATTTATTCTTCTTGATTGAAAAACGCAAATGTGTTTTCTAATAATTGAGGCTACCTGCATAAGCCTTGTGTTTTTCTTTAACAAATGTACTTCTAAACTATTTCCTTTCCCTTGCCCTGTTTCACTCTGAATAAACTCTACATTCTATGCATTTGTTTGGTTTGGGTTTTTGTTTTTCATTTTGTTTTGTTTTGGAGATGAGGTCTCACTATGTAGCTCAGGCTGACCTTGAACTCATGACAGTCCTTCTACCTCCCAGCTACTGGGACCGAAGGCATATATCACTGTGCCCAGCATACACATTGGTTTTGAGCCTGGGTTATACCACTGTTTTCTGTTAGAGTTTATGGAGTCATTCCTTTGCTGGTAAGCTGAATAATTACAAATCTTTGTGATTCCTCAGTTCTGTTGTCTTTTATAGTCTATCTTCTTCCCTTGTGGATGTCTTGGTATGGTGCATGTGTCTCACTGTAGTGGTGTTGTGTCCCCATAGCTGCTCTGATTGCTTGGAAAGCCTGGTAGCTACAAGGACAAGGCAGACAGCTAACGTGGTCCGGCATATAGTTCTCTTCTATAAACTGCTCATGGTTGTGTGGATGGTGTTCCATTAGCTTGGCTGCTGGAAGCCTTTCTTCCCAGCCCTCAGAATGCTATGTCCAGTTGAAAACCATGGATAGATAAACCAGGCCCAGGTCGATTATATGATTTCCTGTTCTTTACAAGCTTTTCATATGCCTATTTCTCTAAGATTTATCAGCAATAATTGCTATGATTTCACCATGGTTCAGAACTGAGGCTAAAAGCTTTCAAGATTTGTTTTTTATATAGTTTGTTCAAAGTTGTATGTTTACAAACTGTTCAGCCTGGACCATTAATTAGTAGCGATCTCAGCATCACCTCCGTCTTTACATTTTCTCCTAAGTTCCTTCCCAGTAGTCTCTGACTCTTGTTTCTTCTCTGTGTTCTTGTTTTCCAGATCAAACCCAGAGCAAGGCCTGTAACAATGGTGGTTTCTTCTTTTACTTAAGTGAACTTTGCTAGAGAATAGAAATTTGTGCTACAAGAACCCATCGCCAAAACTCTAGAAATACTTGCACCTGCCTTGGTACAGCTGACCGTCTCCTGGCTCGGCACTTTCCCTTTGACTTTTAGATATGTTTTAAATCTCAGTGCCTTCATATTTTGATATCCTGTTTTAGAGTTGTGATCGCCTGTGTGCCCTCCTGCCCTGACCCCTCCACCTTTTCTTTTAACTGTAAAAAGAGATCTTGATTTACGCTTCCTTTTAGGGTACCTCTTCCATTCCAGGGGACAGGTTAGGGATACACAGGCAGTGTACTTGCAGTGAGCATTTTGAACTAAGCTTGGCAGCTCTTCTGGAGCAGAATCTGCCACCTGAATGCACTGTGCGGTGGGAGGTGGGCTGTGCTGATGAGAGCTGAGAATAGGTCCTGCACCTCCTTTGAGGTAGTTCGCTTCCTGCCCCCCGGGACCGGTCATCTTCCCCACTTTGCAGCTTATTTCCTGGGCTCCTACCTCTGCTATGCCTCATTGTGTTCTAGAGTAGGTTTTCTCTGGGGTCTTTTGTTGAAGTTCTGTTTAGGAGTCCAAGTCAGGCGGGCTGGTTTCTAGCTCAGATGGAGGCAAGGAGCGGTGCATGGGGCCAGAGTGGGGCTTTCCTGCCCTCTGGGAACAGGTTGTACTGACTGTCCCATTTAAGCTGGTACTCCTACCTCTGGACTTGTTCTGTACCCGGTTTTGCATTAAGTTGAAGGGTATTTTGTTGTTTAATTTCATGGAGTCACTGAGCAGTATCATATTTGAATGCCCTGGTGATAGTCAGTGAACCAGAACCTTCTGGGTCATAACATTGCTTTGCCAAGTCAGTTTGCTGCAGGAAACCACAAAGACAAGTGAGTGTGTGGCAGTGCAACCTGGGTTCTTCCTCGAAACACAGATTCCTGTGTCTGCCCCAGACCGCCCTCCCCGGAGCAGTTACGTTTTCAAATGCACGTACCGTGAAGTTGACAAATGGGAAAGGATTTGGTCGGCTGCTCACAGAGCACTTTGGGTGGAAGTGGAATTCCAACGAAGTGAGTTTCAAAATTAGTTGGTTTGTGGCTTTGAAATTAAGTTAGAGTTTAGTTTTTAAAATAAGAATCATAGATCCTTTGGACACTGTTTTTACCAGAGCCGCTTAATTTCCTGCTGTCATTATGTAGCCTTTTGTTTATAGATGATACTGCTATTGCAATTAAGAACATTTTTTAAAAGAAGCATTTGATTTATATTTGCATTTATTCTTTTTAATTTTCATTTATTCTGTTAACAATTACTGATCCTGTGTGTCAATAATTACTAATTGGATGAGTGAAAATTTAAAACGTTCGAGGCAACACATGGAATAGTATCTTTTAAATACATTTCATAATCTTTGGTAAGTAGCTTGTGTCTCTTTGAAGTGATTGAAATCTCTGTTCTAACGAGGAACCCAGAGACCCAGAAATTATGTCTTGAAGGTGTGCCAGAAGCAGGGTTAGCCTTGAGGCTTAGTTTTCCTCATGTCTGTGAGCTGTAGTTTATTTTTACAGTTAACAGAGAGTGTCAGGAGTTCTGATTCTAAGACAGTTACTTGATTCTTTAATTTTATTCCTCAGAGAGTTGTGATTTTTAAGGGGTAGGTAGAAAGCAGTCATTGAAAACTGTTTATTTCTTTTCTACAAGTCATGTTTCCTTCAAGAGTTTCATTATTTAGATTTGTGCTCCTTGTTTTAGAATGAACGGCCTTACTGAAAAGTACCATGTTGTTTTCCTAGGGAAGGACCTGTCATCTCGGAGCAAAACAGATCTTGACTGCATTTTTGGGAAAAGGCAAAGCAGGAAGACTTGTGAGGTACGGAGCCACATGGAGTTGGGATGCTCTGTTTCATACTGTGTCGTCTTGACGTGTGGGTAGGACTCTGTGTGCCTGTGATTAATGGTACTGTGTGTTGCAGAGAACGTTACCCCCCCCCAGTACTTTTAAGGACCTCATGTAAGTTAGCACTCATCTGGTGCTCGTAGTTGGCAGCCACATTTCGTAAAGAACCTTTAAAAAGGATGATGTCTTTGTGATGTCTGTTCTGTGTGTACCCTAGTGTGAGGACAAGAATTCAGACCCACTGATGATGTAGTCAAAGGGAAAAGTGTCCCCATCACCAAAGGAGGTGAGGGCGCTTGCAGGGACATTTGTTGTTTTTCTCCAGCTACCCTATGGTCTGGAATGTGCTTGGGAGAGAACACAGTAAGTGCGCGCAACCTCTAGAACCCGTCTGTTTTATCATAAGGGCGCCTAACCTTTGCTCCAGCAGCGTCATTTGGAAGGATTCTTCAAAACTGGGAAAGGAGATGACTAAGCTACCCCCTGAATTTGGTGAACTCAGAATTCAGAATCCTGATTATTAAATCAGCTGTGTAATTCACAGAATTGTTGCACCATGTCCAAACGTAAGAGACAGCCTTGTGTGTCAAAATACTAGAATTTTTGAGATATGGGTTTCTGGAAATAATGGATTAAAATAAAACTGGTATTGTCTAAGAAAACCTGGAATATATGGTGTCCAGCTGTTACTCAACTAATCTGCTCTGGTGTGTCATACTTAATTCCTCTAATGGTTCCTAGTGAAGGTCCCTGGTGAGTATAGAATGAAAAAGAGACTTGTTTCATTTATCTCTGACATTTTTCCAGACTGAGAGAAGTCTTTTCTTCCATGGTGGTTGATATTTAGTACTTACTATTATTTTTAGAGACTGGGGTGTTATTGGTGATGAGAAGTTGCATGGGGTGATTTCCCTTCAGGTTGGGCCTGAATTCCCAGATCTTACCACTCGGATGCCCTACCCCTTCCAGTGAGGGTGGCGGAAGCAACCCCTCCCCCACCGCATATCTGCCTGACTGGGGCGACAGCGTCTGTGCTGAGCTGTTGGGCAGCAGCTGGTCCTTAGGGAGGAGGACTCCTGACCTCGGCCATAACGGATGTTCTCTCACAAGAGAGAGGCTGCTGGGAAGAGCACTACTGGTCAGACAGGCTGGCTCTGTCCCCTCTGCCCCTCTGGTTGTCCTGTGGCCTGGATCGGACCCCTCCTATCCACTGAGGGCTATGCACTTGTTTTGTCTCAGCCTTCCTCTCTGAGCCCACCTTGGATTGATAGTGCTCTGTATTGCCCGAGTACTCATGGAGAACCTAGCTTTACAGTCCCTTGCCCTCCTGCGGTCAGCTCTCTGCCCTGACAGCTCCTCCAGCGGCCAGGCTTTACCTTGGTACCAGCCCTGCCTCCTTCCCTACCTCTTCCAGCTCACGCTAGTCTAACAGTCCCCTCGGACCGGCCCTCTCAAATCTTTCCTTCTCCCACAACTTGCACCTCCCTCCATCCCTCCGTGCCCCTGCCCCTCCTCTGCTCCAGCCCTCGTGGAAATCTTACAGTTGATCTGACCATGGACAGAAATATTGTTTGTCGGCTTTTCATAGAATTTTCAAGTAGAAAGCTTTCTCTTGCAGGAGATTAGTTTCTAATCTTCTATCAGGCTTCTGAGACTTCTGGGAGACAGGTTGTTAGGTGCCATGAGGTGTTTCCACATGGCCTGATGTTTCTGGAATGTGTGGTCATGTCATCATCCGTCAGTCGTGTCTGAGCAAGAAGCTCACCTGTGTTCCAGGTGCTTCAGCAATTTCCTAGTGCTAATCCAGGGAAAGTCTTAAGTTTAGTCCAGTTGGTGGAGACAGGGTCAACCTTGATGTTACGTTGTGTTTTTTTGTTTTTTTGTTTTGTTTTGTTTTGTTTTGAGACGGGGTCTCACAATGTAGTTCAGGCTGGCCTCGAACTCACTGTGTAGCACAGGCTGGACTTGAACTCACCATGGTCTTCCTCCTGCCTCAGCCCCCTGAGTGCAGAAATTATAGGTGTGCGCCATCATGTCCAGCCTCAAGCTATGTTTTGTGCAAGGTTTCTGTTGAGGTTAGTGTTTTTCACCAGTGGATGTATAGATGTGACTGTGGGTAGGATGGCTCGTAGCCTATCTGGGTTTTTGCTTCCGGAGGTATGTGTAGACCCGACTGTGGGTGAGACCAGGATGTTTGGCTCAGGTTTGCAAGAAGTGACCACCTCCCTTGGCTTCTCTTCAGTTGAAGGAATATGGCTGTGTTTTTATTTCCTCGACCACGTGGCAGTAGTAACTTGCATACTTGGCAGTGTAGAGGCCCTGGTTCTACTACAGGCCAGATGCTTCAGGAGGCTCAGAACCTGTGGTCATGTTGAATGTGAGGACAGTGATGCTCTCGCGGAACAGTGCTGACCCTGACCTGTGTCCCACACCTACGGATTCAGGTCCTCACTGTGGAGCACATGCTGATGCACAGTGGGCCTGGCCTACTATTTGTAGTTACTATAGTCCTTGACCATCATAGAAATAAGCATCTGCATGTCCAACAGTGCTAGGTGCTGATCATAATATCTCACTGAATCTGGGTAACAGTCCTGTGGAGGTAGATGTTAAGCCCCTTCTTAGCAAAGAGGAAACTGAGGCCCCTCCACCTCCAAAATCAGTGTTCTTTTCCCTGTCCTACTACTGCCACTGTTAAAGATTTTCTTTCTTTTTTTTGCATTGAAAATTTATGTTGAACCGATTAGGGTATGCTTCAGCAGTTTTCTTTGAGTTTTGTCAAAGACACTGGTGGTTAGTACTGTGTCTTCACTTTGTGGGACTATGATTGGCTGTTCCCATTTTGTGGAAAATAAGGGTTAAATTTCGGAACTTCACCTCTTGCCTTCAAGGTGAAATGCCTCGAATTCAGAGGAGTGGGGCCTAATGGCAGCCACGGCAGCCATTTTCCTTCCTTTTTGGAGCACAGATGCTGTATTGTTTGTGTCTTTTTCTGGTCTTTCAATGAGCCGATTGATCTGAATATTTATGTCCAAGAAACACCTCCACCTCTTGATTATTTGTCACGAGAGGTTTGACCTTTTATTTTGAGATAGTTACAGCTTTCTAGGAAACTGCAAAGAGAGTAGGAGCTCCTTGTACCCTTCCCTCATGTCCTCGAGCTGTATCTTCTGTAATTCTGCCAGGAGATGGAACCAGGAAGTTGACATTGGTGTGTAGTTCTATGCCTTTTGGTGCATTCACAGAGTTTGTAACCACTCTCTGTTGTGATCTTAAACTATCCTTTCACCGTAAGAGATCTCACTCTTGCTACCCTAGGTACAGGTATGCACCCCTCCACCTTCCCTGACCCCAGCACCCACTGCTGCAGGCAGAATTGTCTGATTGGCCCTAGAATACTACATGTATTGATCAGCTCTTTCACAGTTTATTGCTGAGTCTGCTGAGATCCCTGTGATCAGAGTCCAGGATTTGATGGTGATTATGGTTTCCGTGACCTAATCACTGCACTTATCCATGCTAGATCTTCTGTCCTCTGTCTTACAAGTCTTCAGGGAACTCCTTGTAGAAACAGATCACTTAATGTTTTTACAGTTTGGCCTGTCAATTAAGTCATTTACTTTGGAAATGAGAGGTATCCCAGACTGTAAAGTGATGCATACAGAAAGGCAGCCCACTTGTTGTATGTACCGTGTTAGAGTTGGAGAGCACCTTGGACAGTGTCGTAGTGTTTACTCGTGATGGTGAGGCTGGAGACCGCCCTCAGGAGGCAGGCAGAATTTGTGTGGGGCGCGCATGCAAGTGTTTGGCTATGGAGTGTCCAGAGCTTTCACTGGATTTCTGCAGTCCTTGATCTGAGGTCAAACTTTAAAATCTAGAACTATGGATTTAGTTCCTACCCTACCCCAAAAAATCATTTAAAATGTCACTTCTCTTGGTGAGCTTTGTGTATGTAGCAGAACAAATTGTACCAAGCCTAGAATCTGATCCCTTAATTAAGCTTCTCTTTGTATTTCTGAATAAACAGAAAGTTGTATCAAAGTAACAATTCAAGCTGTATAAGATATCTAGGACATGTTTATAAAATTTAAATCACTTCTCCTATCAGTTTCTCCCTCTGTACCTCTAGTGAAGACATTGGTTCACTGTCTTTTGAATGTGGATGTTTTCATTGGTCACACACACCTTGCAGTGAAAAACTTAGAGAGTGGACTGCAGTGTCCCCAGTCCTGAGTCCTGCCATGGCCTTGGTTCAGTGTGTGGCGCATGGTAAGGATTCAGTAACTAGGAACCTCATTTTACTTCCCTTTTTTAAAACTGGACTTGTTACATATCTTTAAAATCATGATTTTATTTTTATTAAAACTGGACTTGTTACACATCTTTAAAATCATGATTTTATAGCTATAAGGTTGATGTTAGAAATATTTTTTCCTCTAAAATGTTTTCAGTGTGTCTCCTGTGAGAGTGGGAAGTACCCATCACCCTGCCTCCCCTGGTAGAGTCTGGTGTCCATGGTAGAGTCTCTTGTTTTTTTTGCAGGGAAGTGTCGGGAGAGGTACTGGGAATCAAACCAAAACCTCAGGATTGCCAGGCAGGTGCTGCACCACTGAACTAAGTCCCCAGCCCTAGATTCTTGAGATAGGATAAATTGAGAATGTTTGCTTATGCCACTTTGTGTTTTTTAAAAAAATTAATCCAGTTTCCCAGAAATTGGTTTTCAGGCGTGGCTTCTTAGGCTGAGACAGTTTTTTATAGCTTTGACTGTTTCTCATTGCTGTAGGAGTTAGAGTGTTCATGGCATCTCAGGGACCTATGGTGTCTTTATTGGTGCTTAGTACTTCTTCCAGCCATAGAGGCTGTCAAGAGGCACTGGTTCCTAGCTCAGTCTGGCTGTTCAGTGGTACTTGATTAAAGAAAGAAGAATCATCACAAAGTGTCAGCTACTCAGAAAACTTTTATTAACCTGTGCT